ATCGTTAAAGATAACTAGGTCAATTCTCTAATAGTAAAACAAAACATCATCTTTCTTAAAAAATACTGATTCTTCGGCTAGTTTTGCTATGATGCTAAATTCCGAACTGATAAGTAAATTTCAATCTAAATTCCAAGTGTCTAATGATACAAAAACGTTGAGGTGAGCTACACCAAAACTCGCATTAAAATATTGTCGTTTTTGATAAAATATTACTCCGGATTCAATTCGAGTACTATCAAAAACTACTGTGGACCCAATTCGTGTTTAACTTAAGCAATAAAATATCTAGGAACCTAACTCGAGAATTACAATAATAGTCTGATAACGACTGAAAATATAATTTATGTTATAAATACTAGTATTTTGTCTAAAAATATACTGTATCGTTTGGGTATATTAAACTAAAATACTCGTAAAATTATTTTAAAAAAACTTTCTGGGATGATGGGGACGAGTGAAGCCATTGTTATAGATGAGAAGTAGAAAAGGTAGTAGATAGGATATTTAATGTTTATCTGTACGGAACTATTAACAACTACTGCTAACGAAAAACGATTCTGAGCGGAGTTTGGTTGATAATGTTGCTTTGTTAAAAATATATAAGTCATATTATGGTAAAATAATTACACATATATTATATATTTTCTTTAATATTTGTTTGATATTTTACCTATTTTCTAGTGATGGGGAGTACCGAATGAAAACTATCGAACTACTCGATAATTTCAAACTATCTATTTTCTCAGTTGTTTTTAAAAATCGACTATCGACACTATCTATTCAGTTGAAAAAGTACTCGGTTGTTTTTAATCTATCGATAGTCAAAAACACTCGGTTGTTTTGTAAACCAGTCAATTCCAATACTACCGATAGAGAACTATCGGACTATCGAGTACCTAGTTCATTCTATTGATAATATCTATTTAGTGGAAAAAATATTTGGTTGTTTTTAAACTATCTAGTCAAAAATACTCTGTTGTTTTTTAAACTGTCGAAAGTCAAAAATCAGTCGGTGCTATTACTGAATGAAAAATATCAACTAGTTCATTCTATCTATTCAGTCGATTAATCACTCGGTTGTCCTTTAAACTATCAATTGACAATCGATAGTCAGAACTAGTCAGTTCCGCTTATCACTACTATTTTTCCGTTTTTTTACATTTTTTATGAAAAAACTGGGAAAATCAAAAAATAATCTCCCTAGTACCACCCCAGTCAGATTTCCTTTGATAAAAACTGCTCTCATTATAAATCGGAGTAAAATTCCTAGTAGAATAGTTGTCCACAGAAAAATAAAAATAAATAAATAAAAACCATTGTAAAACCAATACATTTTTTGCTTTACTGAGAATCTAAAACTGAGAATTTTTCATAAATTATTCTTGTAATTTACTTTCGACTATACAAAAATAATGTAAATATTGGACATTTTTAATAAAATAAAAATTTTCAATTTTCAAATAGTTTTCATTTTTTACACCTTCCCAGTTCTTGCACTTGGGGTGTAGTCACCCCGTAGCTCATCTTTTATAACAGACCTATATGTAGGTATTTATTAACGAATAAACAGTTTAAAAGGTAGGATACTTACATAAAAACATAAAGTTATTTAATTTAATCAGTATGCAACGATTAACAATTGCTAACAGAAAACGATTCTAAGTGAAACTAAGTTAAATATGTTTCGAAATGCCGTAATTTTTATCATATTTGTCAAGAGCACCTGTTTTCTGGTTTTCTCCAACTATTATAAAAACTAATTGGAAAATCAAAAGTTACGTCTACAATGCACTAACTATATACAAAATACAACAAAAAAGGGTATCTTTGGATTTTTGATTGAAGTAAGATTTCTAATAGAAAAATTATTAACAGACAGAAAAAAAAATTATTAAAAAATCGCATATGTCATAGTAAAACCAATAATATATTCCTCGCACCGTTCAGAATTTAAAAAAGGTAATTTTTCCTGGTGTACCTATCAAATAAATCGTTTATTTTAAATGTCAAAACAATAATATTACTATTGACACAAACGTAAATAATCGATCATCGTCTCGGATGTTTTATAAACTTACCTAGGTTATTACCGTATTGTAACCGTTTATAATAATGATTATAGTGTAAATACGTAATAAAATGGTACATCGAGGAACACACTATAGCATAGGTAGACAAAACACAAGCAATTTTCATCGCGTACTGAGCCAAGTTATAAAAATAGTGTAATAATAGTGTTCGTGATATTTGGAAATTTTTTACAAGCGATAATAATAAAAGCGTATTATATATTTAGAGGGATTATCCTGGATCACGGCCCAGGTCCGCGATTTTTTGCAATACGTGCATAATATTTTTGTGACCGACTGCAGTAAATATTTACACAGTTCGTTTATTTCTTACCATTTTCGGTGTTGCGCAACGCCATGGCGTCTTGAAATAATTTACATACAAATGTTTTTAAAAAACCATAAAACCGATAAGCCCGTAACGCATCCTACCACCCACATTATTGTGGCTCATACCATAAGTATATAAAGTTACCTACTTACTATACACTACACGACGTCTGCACTTTATTTTTGTTTTTTTACTAATTTACTCGACACGGTATTTTCTACAAAACTACTTACGAAATTATAAACATTTCAATACCTACACATATAGTATATGTATATATATATAGTTACATATAGTTATATAAAGTAGCTTTAATATATTATACATAGTATAAATGTTAAAGCCCACGATAATGCTAATGGCTTTAAGACTATAGAATTAATACAATTATTATAATAGATAGATAAAGTCAATTGTGAGAAAATAATATTGATTTTTTTCCTACTATTTTTATTACATACGTACAAGCAGGCTTGGACTGACCGGATCGTTATTGGGATGCTATAGCATTCCACGCCCTTAAATGTATTTACCTCAATCGGTATGAATTCGCCTTAATCAGTCTACTTAAAATTAATATTAATTTTAATAAGAATGTTATCTACCAATAATTCTCTGATAATATAATTATTTATTTGTAAATAAAGTATTTGTCTGTGAATATTAATGAATAAATAAATATTAATAATATCGCTTTCGATATTTTTTGCACGTGTTTCGCCAGGTGCATGTTATTGAACACCAGGATACCACATGTCATATTATAATAACGAATTAACCAATCAAATATTTCAGAATTATTATTGTCAACTTCAAAGGAATTTTCTAAATAATTGTTTGCACGAGTCATGATGGGAATAGGGAACCAAGTGTTTTCATCACAAGGGGTGTACGACTTCCTTAGCTTCCTCCATTTGGTTACGCTATTGCAGGTGTAATCGTGTGTTACTAAAAATACACAAATTTAGATGTTTAATAATTTGAATAATGTGTTTTTAATAAAGATGGATATATTTCGCAACACGAGTGGGCCACTTTCGTAAGTGAGAAGTTGGAAGGTAGAATATGGAAGAGAATTGAATTTATATCTATATCTATATGCAACGATTAATCATTGTTAACGAAAAACGATTCAGAACGAAGTTTGGCTATATATATTTTTTAAAGTCGTAATATTTATGATTCTTGTTAAAATTTGATATTAAAATTCTTGTAAAAAAATTCTACATTAAAAACTTAATTTTTTTTTTGTTGACCATAAACATAACTTATAATGAACCTCGTGTTGAATTCTCAAGCATTTTTGTTTAGTCTAACAATTTTATCTACTAAGTAGTATCAACTACTTTGTGGATACTTTGTTGTCAAACAAAAATTACGTAAAAACTCTCAAAATTAAAATGTTTATAAATCAATAATGATTAAGGTTTATAAATAAATTCAAAAATGGCTCAAATGTTTTAAATATTTTACCACATCTAGAAAAGGCTAATTTAAGCTAATTTAATTTATTGTCTGAAATTCAAGACTAAGAATATTTTTAACTGAATTAAAACAAAAATACTAAATTGAAAATAATAAATAAAGCATTTTTTACTAAATTTTCTGTTTTGTTCAAAGTACGATTTCCTTTCAGAAAAGGTGCTACACTTATACATCGGAGCAAGATTTCTGGTAGACATTTTGTACACAAAATATAAAAATGAAAAAAAAAAACATTGTAAAATCAATTATATACATTTCTTGCTGGTCGCTACGGTCCGAATCTAAAATAGGTTACATAGGATTTTCGAATGATGCGGTTTGACCTCCTCCCCTCTACCACTGATCAAAACTAATCATTAAATATCATCAAGTCGCCATGTATTTTGTAGGGACGTAAACTCACAAAAATATTGGTCTTAATACAAATTTAAATAATTTATGAGAACAATTAGAAATTTTGTTACTTAATAAAAATGAAACTTACTAAAAATTGAACGAATTATAATCTAACCAACTCAAATGAATCCCCCCAACTTCAATGTGCTCTTGTCGCTTGGCAACCTTTAGAGGCATAACTAGAGGCTGCTAGTTATGGCACTGAATAGGCACATCTGTGGTTTGGGTTTAAATAGCGGCCAATCTAATATTCTTCGAAAGTCAGTTGGTAAATGGTCATTGTAGAAATCAAAATAATGTAATAGTAATTTCGTCACCTATTTCCAGGGTCCACCTATTACACGTCTAACTTTTACTCTTTTACATTTTAGCATGAGAAAATACATACCTACATATCGAATCGAATATTTCTATTGGCCTTTCGTCAGTGGGGACGGTTCACGGATTCTGAAATTCAAGTACTTAATTGGAAAGTGGTAAGGGCCCAAGTTCAACAACAGGATCGATCACAACTTTGATATTATCATAGATATTTTATGGGTACGTAAAAAAGCGGTACGGGTTGCACGTCGGAACACGACGGCTGACAGGTCACATAATTCGTTATCATATTATCCTTGTGCGCCGCCTGTGGGGTATCCCCTCCCTGCCTGCGGCCAACCGTAACACAGTGTCTCTGATAACGATTGCGATCAGCTGTGCCGTATATCGGCGGCATGCGAAACGAACCGTACTTGCTACTTGGTAGCGAACAATCGTCGGTTTCTGTTCTCTGTAAAAATTAGCCAAACTCAGCTTCAGCTACTCAGTCAATTTTAGTTTCATTTACGATTTTTTTACGGATCGTTCGCGATTGTCTTTCGACACAATGAATTCGATACAAGTACAAACGAAACCGTACGATGGCCAGAAGCCAGGCACCAGCGGTCTTCGCAAAGCTGTGAAAGTTTTTCAGCAACCAAACTATACGGAAAATTTTATCCAGGCCATACTCAGTGCCGTTCAGCCTTCGGCCGAGGGCAGCACTCTGGTAGTCGGTGGTGACGGACGGTATTTCGGCACCGAAGCTGTTGACTTGATAATCAAAATAGCCGCTGCTAATGGGGTACGTGTAACAATAATTTTAAATAATTTGTAAACCCCCCCCCCTGTATCGAATACAAAATACTATTGAAGTTGTTATTGGGATAATTTCACATTTTTAATGTACTTACCTACCTATTCGAAATTATTAAGTCATTAAGAATTCAAATTATTTTCAAATTGCAGTAGCAATAACTAGTACAAGTTTGTTACGAAAAAAAAAAATTGATTACATAATACATTAATGAAGTCTGAATTGAAGCGTTTGTAGATATTTTGGTCAATAGAACTTATTTTAACTTATTTTTTAAAATAAATTATTATTATAATATTGCATGGCATTTGAGCAGCCCAATTGCAGTTATTTATAGTTATAATTAATTTACAATAAAAAGTATAATATATTTTTATTATTATTAAAATAAATATATCAACACTTTTGAATCTGTTTTTAATTATTGAGAAATATTCTAATATAATATAGTGTATTAATTATTGTAATACATTATTAATAATATTTCTTAATCTATATTTTTTATCTACAGTGTAAGAAGTAAACTTAACCACCATGTCATGATAATAAATATAAAATTTAGGTATCCAGGTATCATTCATTCACCTAATGTTATAAATTTATAATTTCAAATTCTAATATTAATATATTAACATATGTTATTTTTGTTTTGAGGGTTTTATAAAATTATGTTGTGTAATAAAAATTGTTTTATCTGAATTTTATTAAAATGATGCTTTTTGATTGAATCAAAACAATTTGGCTATGGTGGTAGATACCTAACCTGACAATCGTGTATTCTTATAATTAGGTAATAGTGTAAACTGTCCATATTTGCAAATTTTATTTCAAAGATTTAAATTATTAATTAATTGTAAACTTTTTAAACTTATTGTTTTGTATTATAAGTTATTAAGTCAATTTGGGTAATTTTTTTCAAGTTTTGTACATTATGTCAAAATAATAAGGTGCCTATATTATTTAAATTTGGGTAGTAATCAGTCAAATAATTAGTACACCCTAATGGTATTGGTGCCTATAGCTCAGATTAAGTAAAAGTTTATATTATGAAAATGCCTTGACCATAATTTGCAGTTTGGTATTCTCTCAGATTATTTTAGATTTTGACTAAAGAAAAATCTATTTTAATAGGTACCTATTTTTTTTTTTAATATATAATGAACTTCAAGTTTTGTAATTAAAATTAAAGAGGTTAATGTTCTGAAAAATATTGCTGAAAACTGAAATCTATAGTACTGGACAACAATTTAAATTCTGAAGTCTAGAATATTTTTTCATTGTAATTTCAATTAACATAAAAATTGTAATGATAATATCACTATTCTATGCCTAAAATCAGGTAAATGCACTCAACATTTTTATTTGTGATTTCTCTTACATTATTAGTATTTATATCTATATATTTACTAGAGTATAAAACATTTTAAATCTGTGTTAAATTCTTTGGATTAAAGTACTAAAATAAAATTGTTTAATTTACATATGATACACATTGTTATGGAAACCTAGATAAAAATAATATAACTTAATTGTAAAGTATTTAATGCATTATTAATATAGGTTCTAAGTACAAATTTAGTTTCACTTGTTATTTTTTTGTTAATTATTCTTATTTGTTTGAAGTAGTTTCCTAATCTTTCACTAATAGTCCTGTTATTATGGGTATACTAGATTACTAGCAAGCTTAATAATATTAATATTAATTGATTAGTTGGAGATAATAATTAATAGATAGTAAAAATTTAATGTACATAAATGTTTGTATAATGATAAATTACTAAACAAATTATTACCTTGTTCAAGTTGACTTTCAAAAGTTATTGGTATCAAATGCATAGGTAAAAGAGAGAAACGCAACATATAAAAAAAAATAGCTTCCTATTATTTTTTGCTGTTAATAATTATTAACGAGATTATATTATCTATAGTTGTGTAATAAAAATATGTACCTGTTTATATATTGACTTACAATATTTTAAAGCAAGCTATCACTATAGAATAAATATATTATATAATTTATTTATTTTGTACTATTATCAACTATAATGTTGAATTATAAGAGCATTATTTCATGGTGTTATTATAAAGTTAAAATATATTTTTATTAAAATATTGATCTTCGGTAATTTCAAAAATATTAATTAGATAGTTTCATGTTTTTAATAAAATAATTTAAATTTTCTGCAAAAAATAAGTACCTATATTGTTTTATGACTACAATTTTCACTGGTTCACACATAATATATTGTAGGTATATATATAATAATATATAGATGCACATATTATGAAATATTATCTATTTAAATTCACCAGAAAATCCATTTTAATACAAACTATGTTACATTAGTACAATATGTACTATTGTATATATAAGATTCTGATTAAAAGCAGTATAAATTATTAACGCATATTGGCAGTAGCCAATTATTGAATAGATATTAAAAATATAGGCTAGTAAGTTTTTTTTTCAAAACTTATATTTATAAATAAATATTGTAACAAATATCAGATATCGGATTAAAGTAAAAAAAACAAATTTGTTAGTTCTAAAACCTTAAATATAAATATATTACAAGGTAGTGAAAACATTTTTATTATTAATAGAACTGTATACATCTGTGAATTAGTTATAATTTGCTTGAATAACTTAGTTCCATAATATTTTAGATTATGAGTGTAGCGAAAAATTTATGATATTAATGATATTAATTTTTTTTTACTGTGATAAAAATTTTTACCCGAAATCTTGCTTTGATATGTAAGTGTGCCATCTTCTCTGAAAGGAAATGTTGTCTAGATAGGTATTACTTTTGTGAGGTCAATGATTTTCCAAGGTTTTCACAATATCTGGGAAAACCCGGGATAAAACTCAAGAAAAACAAGTAATTTTACGAAAATAATGCTTTTATTATTTTCAATCTTGGTTTTTGTTGTAATTCAGTTAAAAATATTTGTTGATACTTGAAATTTTGACAGAAAACTTTTATTACCTTTAGGTAGTACTACCTACCTTTGGTAGGTACTGTGTGGATGAAATTGTTAGCCAATACAGAAATTATTTAAAATTTAACAGGTTTATTAAAATAACTATTTTGTAGTAAAAAAAAATTATTTGATATTTATATAGTCAATTTTTTTATAAAGGAATTTTAATATTAAATTTTGAAGAAAATTGTTGTTAAAAATGATGTGAAACAAATCTAGTTACTGGTCCTTGCAAATTTTTCAAGTTTTTGTATTGAACATTTGTATATTACTGATTTAAGAATGATGGTGAAGTTAGGACTGACTTAGTTTCAAAATTATAGCTTTTTGAAGTTCTGATATTATGCAGATATTATATGTGTTATATTAAGTAATGATAATTATATTTTATGTCTATTGTAATCTAGTGGTAGTATGCACCTATTGTTATCCCAGAAATCGCAAGTTTTAAACCCGAGTCTTGAAAAAACAAATGCATCATATTGACTGTGCACTTAGACACCCAAGCCGTCATAATATGACTTATATATTGTTGAAAAAGCAATATTATTATCAGAGCTCTGCTCAGAATCAATTTTTGTTAGCAATGATTAATCTTTGCTTACATTAAATTTCCCTCTATATACCTTCCCAACTTCTCATCTACAATAGGATCCACCCATTGTGCAAATGTCCATTGTTTTTTTTTTTTACCTAGAATATTTACCGCATAACATAATAAATGTTATATAAGTTGCCCATTTATAAAAAGTACACTTTCAGGATAGCAATATAAATAATAAATACCTTCCCTACTTTTACATTATTTATATTAACTAAATTAGCATAATTTATTTTATACTTTTTTAATTAAAAATTTGATTTGGTTTATTTACAGGTGAAAAAGTTAATTGTTGGACATAAAGGAATTTTATCAACACCAGCCGTGTCTTGTATAATTAGAAAATATAAAGCGACTGGAGGCATAGTACTAACAGCTAGTCATAACCCTGGTGGACCTGACAGGGATTTCGGTATTAAGTATAATACGTCTAATGGAGGTAAGTTTTTATTTTGCTTTGTGTAACTAATTGTTTTAATGAATATTATAAATACTGTTCTGCACTTTGTAGACATTTATGGTTTCATTTTTTTTTTTCTATAGTAATGATTTATTATAATGTACAGATATAAATTAAATTACTTGATAGTATACTTGATAACTTTCAACCTATAATAGTGGCATACCCATGGTGTAAAGTATTTCTGTATTTTTATATTTTACTTCTAACCAGTAATATTATAACCCCTTTAGGCTGGTACCATAAATCTTGCCCACCACAACTTACAAAAAATGAAAGTGATTATCTATTAACGTAATTCCTATTAGTATAGTTCAAATTGTTATAATTTCTACAACTTTTTATCACGTATTAAATAATAAAGGTGTGTTATAATATGTTTAATTGATATTAAAAATATATTATATGCTAATAACTACGGTCATATTATTTTACTGCAAAGCTGATTTTGCTGTAAATAAATGTATGCTGATATTTTATGTATTATCAGCTATACATTTGTAATATAAAATATATAAAACAATACAGTATTATTTCTTACAGGTCCTGCTCCTGAATCCGTTACAAATGCCATCTATGAGCTAACCAAAAATATTACTTCTTATAACATTGTACCAAATTTGAAATGTTTCATAGATTATTGTGGCTTACAAATTTTCAAAGTATAATTTGTTTACAATATTTATTTTTACATAAACCTGATTAAAATATTATTTGAATTTATTAACTATAGATTGATGGCAAGGAATTTGTAGTAGAAGTCATCGACTCTGTTGTAGATTACCTACAATTAATGAAAAGCATTTTTGATTTTGACGCCATTCGCAAATTAATCAAGGGATCTGAAAACAGGGCTCCTTTTAACATTCTTATTGATTCAATGAATGGAGGTAAAAATAAAATATATTATTTGAATTTTTCAGTATATTATCATATTTTTGTTATAAAAATTATTTTCTTCAATTTGTTATTGTAGTTCTAATTGCATATTAATTGTTATCCTAAAATTTTAATTTAAGGCCTGTTATAATTTATAAATATTCATATTTTTAGTGACGGGTCCATATGTAAAAAAGATTTTTGTTGATGAATTAAACGCACCTTCACTAAATGCTATTAATATAATACCTTTGACTGACTTCGGTGGACTTCATCCAGACCCTAATCTCACTTATGCTTCTGACCTTGTAAAAGCATTACAAATTGGAGAGTATGATCTAGGAGCTGCTTTTGATGGCGATGGTGTAAGTTTTTAAATTTTTAATATATTTATCAAAAAAATAATAGTATTTAATTTAAAAATTTATCTAAATATTAATGCCTATGTAAAATGTTTATAAAAAAATTTACCTAACTGAATATTGAATTGAAGTTTGAAAGTCAATCAAAGTAGTTATTAAGTTTTCAAATAGTTTAAACCGTTATGATGTTATATCTAAATCATTCATTAAAAATATAAAATATGTGTAGACTTATGTACCACTTAAGTCTTATATATAAATCCAATTTTATATATTAAATTTAAAATTATTAATATACAATTTTATTTTAGGACCGTAATATGATTCTTGGTAAAAAAGCATTTTTCATCAATCCAAGTGATTCGTTAGCTGTATTAGCTAATAATCTAGAATGTATTCCTTACTTCAAGGTTAACGGTGTCAAAGGCTTTGCAAGAAGTATGCCAACAGGTGCTGCTGTTGATAGGTAATTTTTTTTTAAAATATGTCATTTGACTTTCCTTGATTTTAATAAAAAAAAACTATTCAGAGTGGCTGCAAAATGTGGAAAAGAATTTTTCGAAGTGCCTACCGGTTGGAAATTCTTTGGTAATTTAATGGATGCTGGACGTTTATCACTGTGTGGTGAAGAAAGTTTTGGGTAATTATTATTGTCAAACCTAATATATGTTTACGTATTTATTAACTAAATTTGTTTTGATGGTTTTTTAGAACTGGTTCTGATCATATTCGTGAAAAAGATGGTATTTGGGCTGTTTTAGCCTGGCTGTCAGTTTTAGCCAATACTGGAGAATCTGTAGAAACATTACTTACCAATCATTGGAAAACTTTTGGACGTAATTTCTTCACCAGATATGATTATGAAAATTGTGAATCTGAACCGAGTAATCAAATGATGTTAGATTTAGAAAAAAAAGTCACAAGTTCCTCTATTGTGGGCCAAAAGTTTGTATTTGGTTCTAAAAGTTATGTGTTTAAAGAAGCTGATAATTTCAAATATTGTGATCCAATTGATAAGAGTGTCACCACAAAACAGGTAATCTAACGACAAATTTTTCAAATTTTTTTAAACATTTCATACCAGACTAAATTAATTTTCAAAAAACAAAAGTTCATAATAAACGAAATTTGTCAAAGGGCCCAGTAACAAAAATATAGTTACTGGTTTAATTTTCCATTATATTCTTAATATTGTGCAAATGATTACAATTAGTTACTACTTTCATTTCACCATCGATTACTCGTGAAAGATTTGTTTACGTTAGCTGATTTCTTCATCTATCTATTGTTAATTTTGTGTTCATATTATTTTATTAATAATTCAAATTACACATTGAATAAATTGTGTTTTCATAAAATATAATTATTAATTATTGCATATTGCTATAGTTTTATAATATACGTAAATTAAATTCATATTTTTCTTCAACAACATTTGGAGTATTTTAACAATTTCAAAAAAAAAAAAAAAAATACCTTCTAGTTTGATTTTGTATTAATTAATATTTTTTTTTAATAAAATTGTACAGAAAAAAAAAATTCAATATTTAAAATGTAATTTATTCAATTATTTAAGTTAATTTTTTTACAGGGTATACGAGTATTGTTTGAAGATGGATCTCGATTTGTGTTTCGTTTAAGCGGTACTGGTAGCAGTGGTGCTACTATCCGTTTATACGCAGAATCATATGAACCTCCAACTTCAAATATTTTAGAAGACGCTCAAGTAGCTCTAAAACCTCTAGTTCAAGTATGTTAAATTAAATAACATTTGAATGTTTGTATTTAAAAGAAATACCATAATTTTATTGTATTCCAATTTCAGATAGCTCTTGAAATGTCAAAATTGGTGCAATTCACTGGGCGTACAGCTCCAACTGTGGTCACATGAGGATCCATGTTTTTCTTATGTTAATTAAGAAAAAAAAGTATAGTTGTTTTTTTTCACATTTTGTTAAAGTTTCTGTGATTTTTAAATTTAGTTTATTAAAATTATATTATACCTAGTATATATTATATATATTTTAAAAAAGAAAATTACCAACATTTTCATTTAAACTTATTGAATACTAAATACTTTATAAGATTTTAAATTATTATATAAAATTCATTCTAAGAAATGAATGCTAACAAGTATAAATAAGTGGTTTGGTGCAAGAAGGGCCAATGTCTGTATTACAATAATTATGGATTTTAAATTTGATTTTGGGAAGTAAATAAATGTTTTCAATTTATATTTTTAGCCCTTCTAGTAACAAACCACAGAAATATATAATTGTTTGTTTATAAAAATATAAAAGTATAATTTATTATATAGTAAATATTTATGTACTTAATTTAAATAATTTTCATCAAAATTTAATTCTATTACTGTATATCATTATGATTCAATTAAAAAAAAAAAAAAAAAGATAAGTTCTTGGTTTTCTTTTTTAAATCTTTTTACTATATTATATTTATGTCATTTTAAAATTTTTATGATTTAAAATATATTTTATTGTTAGCCAAACAACCAAAATAATTATAATAAAATTCTGTAAATTGTGATGAATTACATTTATTGTAGTTGACAGATTTATATAAAATATTTATATTTTTTTTCATTATAAAAGATGATGTATAATAGGGACAAAACATGCAATTAAAGTAATAGTTAATTTATATTTAACAGTATATATTGTCAACAATTTATTTTTGTTGTTTTTTTTTTATCCATTTTGGCATAAAAAATTAATTATGTTTAATTTTAAATACATATTTACAATATGTCTTAAGAATCTATTCGCTAAGTTCATTATTAATTTTTAAGTATAAATTTACACTGAAACTTAAAAAATTAGGTGGGGACCTTGAAAGTTTTTGTTGATGTTGTTTTTGATCTGTAAAGAGTAATTTAAACTCTTTAACCAGTTGATACTGCCAATAGCTTGTGGAGTCTAATTTGCCCGATGGGATTTAAAATATCGACTCGATTAATGTTATAATTATTAATATTATTCTATTACAACCTTAAATGGAATCTAGATGAATATTGTAAATAGCATTTTAAATTATGCGTGCTTTCCACACAAACCTATAAGTATGAATAGTATAATATTTTGTGTGTACTTGGAAAAATTATATTAATTTGTAGAATTCTGTTGGTCTTTCACCACCAAGTATCTATATACCAGTGTAAGACTTATAGTAGATGTGTGTTGCCAATGACTTATTATTTTTCTCTTTGGGAAAGGTAACATTTTTTACTGTCCCTTTTCCTTAACATAAAAATTATTTATAAAACTTTTTTTTTTTTTTTTTTCAAAACAATTTATAGATAATTCCTTAAATACTTTCAATCTTGTTATTTACAAAACTACCTAGTCTTTATCAAATTTGAACCAATAAAGTAAATATCACTTTAACATGAAATAGAAACATACATAAAATCTAATGGAATTGAATATTCCTTTTCTTTTATGATAAATAAGAATAGCTGTAGTACTTGCATAAACAATACATATACATTATTTTTATGAAGGTTTAAAATGTATTCCTATGTTTTTAGTAAATCCATATTAACTAAATACACATAAATTCTTACCTTTGCTTTTTTTATTTAATTAGGTAATTATTAGTATTTATTAATAAATATTTAAGTAAAATTATTTGTTTTGTTTATTAAATTTGTTATTTATATTTTATATAAGTTTTATTTAAATGTAATCTATCTAATTTAACTTAATTATTATAGAATTTTATTATACAAATATTGTATTTAAAACCTAAGTTTTATATGTTAAATTTTAATAATGTTTGATCTATTTGTGCTTATTTGTATTGTAAACATTATTATATAATTTAAAATTATTATTTTTGAAAACTAATAATCTGCCTATAAAATTTATTTCGTTATTGAACCATTCTTACACATTTTAAACAGTGCTGTAATAAAGATTTAAAGGTTGGTGAAATGGGCGGTTGCCAAAGGTACAGCAAAGTAAAGGACGCATTTGAATGAAATTATTATAATTTATAACTCATTAACAATAATGACTCAATAATTTAAAAAATATAGCAGTAATTTGATCAACACGTAAGAATGTAATATAATAATATATACAAATTATACCTATAAAATGAAAAAAATAAGCATCAAAATGAAATTTGCCATGGGGCGCCACGGGGTATAGTTACAGCACTGATTGTAAATGTGTTGTTAAATCCCAACATTAATATATTTAAATTAGTTTTTCAAGTGAATTTAATAAGTATCTAAATTGTACAACTATTTATGGTGTATGTTGGAATGCAAATGTTTTACTTTTTCAAATAAATAATCTCAATAAGTAATATTGTCTACTATAAAATACATTTATTTCTAACTTTTGGACATGGGGAAAAAACTGTGACTTCAAAATTTCAAAAATGTTACACCAGAAAGTAAAAATAACACTGTATTATTGTATTAGTATTTAAATAACAATGTACAACATAAATAACACAAACTATAGAAATTAAATATTATCAGCTGTATTCAATATTATGTAATTGTAGTGTTATGCAAATTTGTAACATTAAAATTTTCCAATTTCATTCCTCTTTTAGGTTATTTTTCTAATAATATTTATACATTTTTTTATATACCTTAAATTTTAAATCTCTTTTCTAAACATTAATATTATATAATATCACTTTTATTTTTGTAGGAAAATAGAAGATTCGTTCTTATGTTTTTCTGTAAAAATAATAAATTTTCTTTTCATAACTATCTACAACATTGTGATTTTAATCTAAAACCTTTCACAAACATACCAACATACCTGTACCCACATACAAATTATCTCTTATACATAATATTGTATTGATACCAGTGGCACGGTGAACGACGTTTCCCTTACGCAACTGTTTAATTTTAGAAAGGGGTGGGTTCTTCTATAAAGGTTTACATGCATGATGTACGGATATTATCATGTGATATTTATTGAATAGGTATATAAATAATTTAATATACACTCCGAATCATATCTACATGTATAGATGTAAAGATACCTTATATATTATGAGGTATAAGGTGAAGTGGATGTAATTGTATAAGTCATTGTATAAATGTTTTGTTTAGGATTTAAAATATACTCACCATGCCACCTATGCATTAATAATATTGGTTTTAAAATCAATGCTACAGTATAGTAGTGCATTTTTTATGAAATTTTGAAAAACCTCTATCCATTTTTTCCTAACATTTCTACATCGGCGCAATAGCCCAAATATTATGAGGAGGTTTAAATTTTTTAAACAATACTTTATATTTAAGTGATAAGGAATTGATTTGGGGCACTAAGACCCGCCCCTTATTAATTTATTCCCATTTTTCTTAAAATTTTCCTGACTCATTGTTTTTCATACTCTCAACATATTATGTGCCCATGCTATTATCTTAATATTATATTCCCTTAAATTTTTGTTTTTGGTAAAATTAAATACAAAACTCATTCATTCAGTTTTTCGAAAGGTTTTCATAGTCATTTAGTAATATCTAGTATATTAATATATTTGTATATCCACAGTCAACGTCCCCATATTCCAGTCATTATAATTCGCTTACCGATACCTACATACCTAACTATAAGTAATACTTTTTATTTATTTATACGCACGATGTAACAATAAACAATAGCATTGAATAACTGTTTGATAAAATAGTAATAGATAGGTACTTAACGTAAATAATCATTTTAAGTTTTAAAGAGAACACATTGAAATAAATAACATGAGATAGATTGAATAAAAATAAAATGAATATGAGATTAGTTAAACATCAACATATAGGAAATAGAGCCAGGCCAATGCCCCGGTTTTTACTTTGACGAATTCCTTTAAAACAATGTGTTACATTCTGTATAATAATTTATTTATTATTAAAATTGAATTTGTTTTTGTTTCAAGGATCCTCCTATAGGCTCTAGAACCACCAAGTTTCGCGTTATGCCGATGCAGTCTGCGGCGGGCATGTCGTTCAGTTCAATTATGTATACGATACTAGACGTTTCGCTGTATCCGGTATTCGGTAAAAATGTTGAATATTTTGAATTAACACCATTAATATTCATTTATTATTGCTACGTACGAGTATTTTTGTAAATTACGTCCAAGTAAATGTGATATTTTATAATAAGGTAGTTTAGGTAGTCTAAATATTAGTGAACAATTATGTTATAATGTGCGTAAGAAACTGAACGCGAAGGTACTCGCAGGTTATTATTATAATACATATTATATTTTTATTCCGCAAAAATTAACTACTTTAATTTTTACCTACGTCAATTATTTTATGGAAAATGGGTAATAATAAATAGGTATTGCAAGTTATACTACAACAATATATACGTAGGTATTCACCATAGTCGCACAAAGTATACAGATACCTAGTGTAGATAAATCATATTACATACCTCGGTAGTAATTAATAATATAGTAATACAAAATTTAAAATTTATAATTACAGAATCGGCCACGCTTAACGGATATGGACAACATATTATCATGGGTAGGTAATAGGTGACCACTTATTTCTAAAATGTATACATTCTTTTCAAATTTCAATATGTCGGAAATAAATTATAGGCTATAGTGAATAAACCGAGACGACTACATTTTTAACTCCTTGGAATATGTTGAATTTATTTGAAACATTCTTAACTTACATGTTATTTGAAAAATAATATTCCTAATATTTAAAATATTGGACTTTAAAAGATTTAAATATCATATTTCTAATAAACCTCATATCTCAAAAAACCTAATAATAATAATTATCTTACCTCAGCCAAAGAGGTAAGATAAGACAGATAAATGTCTAATACATTTTTTTCAAATATCACGCATTTATGCATCTTACTTATAATAACTAACTGTAAAATATTATACAGTCTCGTCATATCCCACATAATTTGTCTCAAACACCCCCCCAAGAACAGGAGTTGGACAGTACAAATTACACTAAATTAAATGGAACATACTTATTATTAGGACAGGGGTAGCCAACCTTTCCAATTAAGTGAGCTACATTCGAATATCTAAGTCTAGGATATTTGTTTGATGAGGAAAATAATAGTCTAAGAATAATTATTTATTGTTTCATAATAATAATAATAATAATCTAATTTAATCTAATTCGGCACCGAAAAGTAACGATGAATAATTTGAGATTGTTTTATTATATCTTTAAACTGAAATTGTCGAGTAGAAGATTTCATAGCGTCCGAAAATTCTACCCGAAAAAGTTGGAGAGTTGACATAAGGTCCTTAATCGTAGAGGGTTATTGTTTTTGTTAATTTTGGCGGCATAACCAGTGGTGTACGAAATTCAACAGAGGAGGGTAAGTGCCAACTTTAAAGTTTGATGGAGAAACCATATTGTGGCTGGATACAATGGCGTAACTAGAACTTTTAATCCCCGTGGCAAAATATCTCATAACATACGAATAGAGAGCGCCATAGCAGTGCCTAAAATCAAAACTGCCACTTCTGCTAACAAAATTGTATGCTGAATTTTAGCTTGAATTATCTTGAAGATTTTTAAAATTTATATATGTACACCCTCCCCTTCCCCTCATCAATAATTTCTAACGCCGAGTGTACAACCCGAGTTGAGGCCTAATTTACTTAGTTTCGAGCAAAAAAAGAAAAAGGTCTATCCTCTTGTATTATTTAATAATGCCTTAGGCCCTAATTTGGGGCCCTTAAATTTCATGGGCCCGTCATGCCACCCTATTGGTAAAACATTGGCTGAATAACAAAATATATCAGGTTGGACGGAACAACTTGCTATATAACAAAGTAAGGTAAGGTTATTTCGCACACAGTGTATAAACTACGTACTAAATGTGAAAGAACACTATGTGTGTAGAGGAGTCGCTGTGCACCGGAATGAAGCTGGTTTCGGTAGTGATAAGCCCTGGCACCGCCTTGAATAGAACAGATAACGTAATTGCCGATCAATAAAAACGTATAGCAGCAGATAAGAAGAGTGATCTTACTTAAATCGGCGGCCGCATAAAAAATTGAAACATAAAACCCGCCCCTAATGGTGGTTGATTTGGACAGTGTGACTCGAAAATGACACCAGCCTGCAACTTAGATTGAAAATTCCATTTCATAAATCAAATTTTTGTTTAAGTACATTATTTGAGTTAAAATTTTTAATTTTAGTCAACCCATCGATTAGGTTACCCACTTTTAAGTTTGGGTAGGGTAGAGTAGTAGAGCATTATTTGTGAGGCGACACGGCGTGCGCCGATTGAATATAATGTATATTATTCACGTCTATGCCCCCCCCAACGAATTTTACCAACATTTTTGCATGAATGTTTTATACGTAATTTCTTTGAATTTGAATGACCAATTTTTGAATATTTACGACAACAATTTTAAAACTATAGTAAAGACAAAGATGGGGAGGGGGATGCTGCTGATGACATATACCTACTTGAAATACCCGAGTTATCATTTTTTTTTTTTTATATCTGATTTGAAAACTTTCTTGTGTAAATTTGTACGATTGGTTTCAATATTTTAAATAAATTACTTCTCCTCGCAAATGTCAAAAAACCTATTTCCCTCTGTCGCCAGTCCCCTTTTTCGAAAATTTAACTTTTTCTTGCACCGAAGTACCATGTTTTTTTTCTCCATATAATAGGTTTGATTTGTGATCTGTCCGACAATTTTATTGACGTAGGTAAAACATATACATATAGGTACCTCTAGTTAATGGGTTCAAATACTGGTACCTAATACTACGTAAAACAGGTATGTATATAATAATTTATAGGTAACATTACATTATGAATACCTCTACGGAATAAAATTGATTAATGGTATTTAATGGTATTATTATCGGTTGTAAGTTCAAGGTCTGATTAAGTGCCCAGTATGCCTCGGAATCGAATTTGTTCTCGAGTTAATGTATAAGAAATTGGCTCTTTATATAAAATTGTATGTATGTGAAGTATTATATTATTATTATAAATATTTATTTATAAATATTTTTAATAAATTTATGTATCACTTATAAATTTTAATTTTTAATTCATGTAAAATCGAACTTCGCTCAGAATCTATTTTTGTTAGCAAAGATTAATCGTTGCGTACAGATATTAAATTCCCCTCTATATAACTTCACAACTTCTGATCTACAAAAGTGGCTCACCCGTCATGTGAAGTATGTCCTTATCTTTTTTATAGTTGATGTTTTATTGAATACCTATTAATCTAAAATAATTTTTGTTTTTTTTTTTTAAATTTATGTAGTTATATATTACATATACACAAACGATGATAAAAAGATAATACCTTTTACAACTGTTGGCTCAGAGGAACGTTCCTCTGCTCCTCTTAATCCTGACATTCGTAAGTTGAATTAGTTGAAAAGTAAGAAGGTAAGTAAATTAAATACCTATTCTTTGGCAATAAATAATATTATATTATGCTTGGTATAACAACCATAGTAATAAAAATACAGTCTATAGGGCGTGACGTTGGGTATTAATTTTATTATTGTTAAATTTGTCAAAATATTGTTGAGAAACGTGAATTATGATGATCCAAGTATATATTTTGTACTACATAGAGCTGTTGTTGCCAATTTAAAAGAAATCCGCTTCGTAACACGGCGCTATCTATGTGCGATTATCAGTCATACGTTTCTTATCTAATGTGTTCTCTCTTACTCTTATCTATGTTCTATGACTTCAAACTTATCACACGATTCGTGCATTGTTATTGGCATAAAAAAAAAAGTGTTGGGTGTGTTGTAATTATCATACCTCGACACTGTTTCTTTTATATACTTTTTGCATATACGATACCGTAACATTTTGTCTGTCTATTTTATCGTGTCCGAGTATTACCAGTATTACGTCGATGGTCTAACTTCGTTTATTTGTTAATAACTCGTCGAATATTCGGTACCTACCAATTAATTTTTATTTAATGTCTCCGCCCCTTCACCAAATGCACTGGCAAGTTTACTGAGACTGTTGGTTGTTTATTATTATTTCGTTTTCAACTTTCCAACCGGTGGTGGCGGGCCGGGGAAATTTTTTCCGTCGTCCGAAACGACCTCCTGCACAGACTGTGATTACCATTTATCGATAAAGACCGCATCGAAAATTCCGGTGCGTTACCGGACGAAAACGACGAGATTACGTAAATAAACGACGGCCAACCCATCTGTGATAACACGTCGTGCGTCAGTTCGGTGGTTCTGGTACGTTTTTCGTCGTCGCGATCGATTTTCCGCTACCAGACGGCCGGCGGTAGACGTACGCGCAAACTGAAAATTACCACGAATTTACCTCGAGATTGATCGCCGCAACAGGTACGTTAACTCGAATTAGTTTTTAGATTCGATGGATGACGCGAATGATTATGTCGTCGATCATGGTATTGTTCATCCATCCGACGGGATGGTTTTGTGCGCGATCCGGTAAAACCGCGTCCGCAAACGGCGACGGTGCCAGAACTTTATAGTTTTACGGTAAAGCGTCGACCTTTACGGTATGCTTTTTTTGTAAAACCGTCACCGTTGGACGGGTAACTGATTTGCATTGGCTGTGTGTGTGTGCTGCTAAGGTATTTATTCTTTTGTGGTACCTATCTAGTCACGGTTCTGATTTTTTTGTCATAGACTGATCAGTAGTTATTTTGTATTTTTAAAATAAAAAGTTTAATATTGAACATTGAAATTTATTTTTATTTTATCGTAACTTACTTTTTACTTATTAATTAAATACAAACCAACTCAAACCAGGTTGATTTTTGATTGGTATATATTATTGCAGTATTGTACATTTTTTCTACTTTTAGGCTATAGTGGCAATTCATTTTTTATTATAGACTTTGATGGTCTGTATAACTTGAAGGGAGGGGCTTTCTTGATAGGGGAAAATAAAGTCTTCATGTTTTATTATTAATAAAAGTGTTTTGGACTGCGAAAGTTAGTATTCATAATGTTATATAAAACGGGTATTACACCACATAGGTAAATATTTTTTTTTTTTCTAGTAATAAAATAATAATAATATTTGGTGTTATAAAAGTTGCATACCTATAATAATAGAAGCAAATATGGATAAAAATGTTAATACTTAAATTCCTAGGTATCTATAAAAAAAAATACAATTATTTAGCTGTTCCTTATTTTAGAAAAAACTGTAATTCAAACATTTTTTTGGTTTATGGTTTTTTATTGAAGAAGTATTTATCAATTTTATTATTTATTAATTAGACATTTAAATATTCAATTAAAATAAATAACAAAATTAGTTGTCATACCTTATGATTTTTTAATGTGCGAAACTAAATTGTATAGAACAATTATATAATTATGTGTATTCGACAACAGTAACAGTACCTATAGGTATTTTATTTAGTTTGAAAATTAATGGTTTTAGTTTAGGAATAGAAGTGACAATTATTAGTGTTTAACCACAGACTTTTTCCTAATAGTGGGTAATTTTATAACTACCTATACATTTTTTATACCTATTACTATGCTAGTTTATATGTTTTTTGTAATAATTAAGGCAGACAATTTCATATTTTTTTTTTAGATTATTAGAAAATAGTTTAGTGAATATATTAAAACATTTCTTTTTGAAAATATAGTAAACGTTTTTAACTTCAATTTTGTGAAACAATTTTAGTTTTAGATCTCTAAGATTCTGAGTAAAAACACATTTATGTTACCTACCTATATTATCCATTAGATAGACAGAGACAGCAAATGTTAATGTGGACATTCTTTTATCAAACAATTAGAATTTACCATTTTAACACCAATAATACTAAAATGTGTTAAAAATAATATTTATCTAATACGTAGTCCCTGTTGAAATGAAATGTTCCATGTCCTATGGTTTGCTATAAGAAAAGTCCTTTTTTCCCCGTTTTTGACTAACCCGGAGTAAATATTTTAGCATTATAATGGCTTTGTGGTTATCAATTGTCGTCATATTATTATACTGTTTGAAAAAAAAACAATCCTAGATACCAGTGCTTTATGTGAAGGTGTGAAAGCAGGTATTTATCCCTTCGAGGACCTTTTTTTTTTTCCTGTTTACTATAATAACTATTTGTTTTCATAATAATATAATATATTTTCCAAGAAATGCACCGTACTTATATTATAAGTTAGATAATAAAATATTTATAGTATTCAATTTATCTCCTTCAATATGTTTTCTATGGAAGACCATTGTTATAAATTGTTAATGTGTATATGTTACCATTATATCATTATCATTTATATTATTATTCGCTTCTATTTATCGATGCATAGCATTTTATGTAGTAATTAATACTTTAATAGTTATAAAAGTGGCTATGGGAGCTGAAGACCTCTTAGCATGTAAATACTAAATTTTATTAATTATAATTTATACTAAAAATATAAGTTTAACACAAAAGAAAAATTAATTTGTTTAGACCCTCTCCCCTCCCTCTTTGTTTAATTACAAGGTCAATGCCTGTACAGTTGTATACAAATATTGTGTTCATAACAAAGTTTTTTATATAATTTAGATAGAACAATAAATTATCTGACAATTATATAGAGATAAATTAAAAATTACAGTTGAACGTCAAATGTAAAATGTTTACTTTTTGTATAGTGGTTGAAAAAATAACAACAATTGCTCTTTGTTATTAATTTTTAACCATATAATACTATATGTAACAAAATTATGTTGATTAATACAATATTATCTACTAATTATGATGCAACTAACAGAAATGTTAAATGAACTGTGTTGTCAACTATTGAACCAGAAAACGGTAATGTAATGAAATAATGACAAAATATCAAAGGTTATTGTAAACTATGGGTAAATTTTGTTTAATTTTTACTGTAAACATTCATGTTATCGACATTGCGATGGTATTTAATTTATTATAGGATTCAAATATCGACATGTATTAACCATGAAAGCACAATTATTTATCTGTAAAATTGTTATCAATATCGATCACGTTCAATATGCTAAGAGTAAAAAGTTTTTGTTTTGCATTTAACATTACTAAATAATGTGATGATGATGATTCGAGGAATTTATTTTTAAATTTTTTGTGTGAAAACGGCCTCTGCAACCGGTTTTCCCTCATAGCACTCGCCCGATCAATTTTACATTGGACCAATGTAATCAGTTATCATTTTAATTTCACACAATGTTTTGCGTTTATATTTGATATCTTACATTATAAATATGACCTTTTATTATAGTAATCAAAACCTGTTCAGAGTAGAGCGATTAATGTACCGTTTTTTTTTTTTTTTTTTGTATTTTATTACGCTTTGGAAATCTGATCAATCCATTATGGCATCGAATCGAGACGTCATTTTAGACCAGTAGTTTATTATACGATTTCCTTGCAACTTGGTTTGTAAATTGCCGAGAAGTTTTGGCGAAATGTACGTACACAGTTTACAGAGGAGAACGTGCAAGCTGCAAAATATTAAACATACACATATTGTGATATTAAAAAAAAAACAGCTCCCCCAAAAAAATATCAAGAAGAAAAGAAATAAATAATTTAAAAAAAAGAATAATAATAAAGGTTTATGTGAACTTTTTGGAAATCAGAGAACTAAGATAAAATGATACAGATAAATACATTCCCAATAAAAGTATACCTGTATTAAATTATCTAATTTTGTTTTTTTTTTCACTTAAAGTCATGTGTATAATTAATTGTTGTTCTTTTATGTGATATTAATTATTATTTTTTTTTAATTGTCTTCTTGTGTATTAATTCAAAATGAGGATTATTTTTTGCTCTACTTGGCCGAGTTCCGCCCTCCCACCCCTTATATTGTGATGAAACGCATGTGAAACACATTCATTCGATTTTAATTTGTTGCTAGTCTTGTTGGTTAGTTGGTAATTTTAGGATATTTGTACGTGATAGTGAAATCTAGAGGATATCTTTATCCAATGCCAAAATGGCCGGTAAAGCGAGCGAAAAAGAAATTGCGCCTTAATTCGTTAGCGAAAAGCCCACAAGACCAGACGCGTTTTAGAAGTAGGTGTCGACCTCATAATTTTTTTTCATTTTCTAATTGGTATTTGTGTAGCTTGTTATTTTTCTTAGATTTTATAACATTTGGAAACGAAAATATTTTACAGAAAATGGACGATAGCAATAATAACGATTACGTAGCACGACGAAGGTCACAATAACAACCGGGATGTTTTTCCTAAACTTTCTAATTTCGATACAGGTTGTTGAAAATTATTTGCCGCACGTAAGAACGAACGGATGATAATACTAATATAAATATAATCCGTGACGTAGGTAATAATAATAAAAATAATAAAAAAAAAAAAAAAACCTAGCTATATGAATACAGGCGACATTGTACTATTGTATCTACCTGTAGTTAAATGTAATTATAGTTATAATTTAGAAAAAAAAAATAATTTCCATCACTAATTTTGAATACGATTATAACCGCGATATTCGTTTCCGTGTGCGGTGTAATAAATGCTTGTAAAACGTTTCGGAAGGTATTGTTAATTATTATTGTAATATTATTCAGGCGTGTGGCCGTGCTCAGTTCGGCGGATGATAACCCGGCAATATAACCACCTAGGCAAACAAAATTAAAATTCGCGCGATAAATATTTAAAGGAACGAAAGATAAAGTAAAAACGGCAGTGGCACGCGAGGGACCGCAACCGAAATTATATGTTGGTTACGGTCGTGTTTTTAACCATTATTTTCATTTTAAATTTTTCTATAAGACGTCTTTAACCGCGGTCGGCTGGTTATCCCACCCGTTATGCCGAGTTTACATGCTGCTGCTGCGTAGTACTTGTCATTAGTAGTTGTCGCTCGTACTCCTACTATCTTAACTATTGTTCACACGTGATTGCCATACTTACTAGCGAGCAAGTAGCAGCGAACCAAACGTCGTGATAGACCGCGGCTTTTTTTTTTTATAGAAAACTTTTAAACATTGTGCCAACGTTATAATTGATGCAAGAACTTGAAAACGAATCAGAAAAAAAAAAAAAAACAAAAAACGATTACGGACAAGGAAATGGTTGCTGCCGAGACGCGATACCCTTGGTAATTCAGTTGGGATTTTAAGGGAACTTGTTACCGAAGATCGACTCGAGTATAGATGTTTCGTGGGGATAACACCCGACCAATTTGAATTTCTGTTACAAAAAATATCGCATCTAATCCAAAGAGAAAACGCAATTACGAGAACTGCAGTCCCCGCGAGGATAAAACCGGAATTGACTTTGTCTTTTTTTAGCTCCGGGTAATAGATACATCGAAAAATCAACAAAATACGCACGTGATCCAGCCGATACTTGTCACCAAGCACTAACGTCGGACGGTCACACGTTGCGAGTGCGACCGCGAGTAGAGTCGCGTGTGTGTGTGTGTGGCGGGGGGGGGGTGTAACTACTTGTCATTAGTAAATAGAATTGGATTCTATTCACTCGCGTTCTCCCGGTTTTACTGTAATTCCAAGCACTGTTTTTACCGTTTACACGCAATATGCGAGCGCGCGTAACAAGTACAAATGGCGAGTACTACGCACCGTGTAAACTAACACGTCGCGACAGGTCTGGACAATCGCCCCGCCTGTGCGCAGGCTGCTTCGGTCGATGAGCGTATTTCGCGGCAATTTGTGCGCGTAGACACGTTCGGTTCGTTCGCTCTACTTCTCCGTTACCAAAACCGACAACCTCCGCCCCTACCGCGAGACCGTAACCCCCCCCCCCCGTGTACACCGCCGAAGAAGTCCGCAGAGGAGTCGCGAACTTACTGCGCGTAATATGGTCCGGAGTGCGTGCGCGACGACGCGTCCGTGCGTACCGGTAAATCGCGTTAATCGCTTTTATTGTGAACGACACGCGGCGACGGCGTCGTTGCATTTCGCAATAATATTAAACACTCGAGCGGCGGGGAATGTCCGCAACGTTATTAATTCACTGGAAGCCCTTTGGCCGTTTCGCCGGTAAACGTTCGGAGACAAGGAGTGCGATTAAAGCAAATACTAAATATTCGATGATTACGATGAAGACGCCGCCGCCGCCGCGTTGTTATTATTCTGGGCTCGCGATTAATATTTATTATTCCGTTTCTCCGTTGTACCGTGTCGTCCGTGCGTCTTGTTTTCGCGTACTTGCCGATGTATACATATATATATATGGGTAATAAAACTATTACGTTTTCTTTAGGAAGACATTTTATTCCGCCGCTATTTGTCGTTGATTTTGTCGGTCCGGCCCTCCGCGGGCTCCGGGTACCTAGTATTTTATTTTTACAGTGTATCGGAAAGGCGCGATGTTCGGCCCTCGTCACTTTTCGTTTTGCACATCGTTGTACGAACGACAACCTGCCGGTTCGTTAACAATATTATTATCGCCGATGATTACGGGATCATTTGATGTTTGCATAACATTTACAACTATTTCAATAACTTGCGATTTGCCGATTCGGCGAATTCTAACTAGGTTAGGTTGTGTTAGATATACTCGCGCGCGTTTTTAACCAATGTCGGTTTTATTCGTAGGTATCATTTTTACATTCTGACATCTGCGACAAATCAGTAACGTATTGGTTTTACTATGATGTGCGTTTTTTGAATTTTTTTTAGCGTTCTTCTTAACGAAACCGCCATTTTCGCTGCGACCTTTTCGCCGACTGACCGTTTTGCCGCCAATTGTTGTTTCGCCGCTAACCTTTTCGCCGACGGACTTATTTTCTTAAAAGAAATTAACACATTTTTTTTTTTTTTTTTTTCAAAAGAGCTGATATTGGGGACGCGAAGTTTGGATTTTGGGAAGGTATGACACATAAAGTTATTTAATTTAAATTTGTACGCAACGATAAATCATTACTAACGAAAAACGATTCGGAGCACAATTCGGTAAGACAAATTTGAAATGCCGTAATTTGATCTTAAAACGGCTATCAAAAAAAAAAAAAAAAATACTTAAGCATTCAATTCAAATTTATTTTTTAGATCACTAAGTAAAACTTATGATAAAGTCTGGCGGCGAATAAGTCCATTGGCGAAAAAGTTAGCGGCGAAACAATTGGCGACGAGTTGGTTGTGATGAATCGGTCCGTCGGCGAAGTGGTGTCCTAGACCCGTTTTCTTAATACTTGCGGCAAATATGAGAAAAACTGACAAATTTACTGTAATAAAAGTTCATTATTTTCGATATTTTGATTTTATACCAAAAATCTTGTTCCGAGTTTCAAGAATAGTATCTTTAATGAAAGACGATTTTGTTTAGTTAGTGCTTAAAATGGTCTTTTTGGTATTATTTTTTGTTAAAACTATCAGTTAAAAATTAATGTAGACGCGTGGTCAAATTTTCAAATATTCTGGCGATATTTTTTTAGGTGTTTCTATGGTTTTTACTAGGATTTTTATTTGGTTTTTTGTGGATAAAATTTTTTGGCCGAATAGAAATTATTAAAACATTTAATACGAGGTTAGTAAGATGTACTTATTCGTTAAAAAAGTCGAGCGTAATGTTGGTTTAAGTTTTTGTAAAGAGTGTTGTGTAAGTTTAAATTTTTGACAAAAATCGTAAAGATAACCCGTTTAAGATTCGTTAAGATTCGCTCAGATTTTGTCAGTAAGATTTGTCGTTGATTATTGGTATAAATTAAATAGCTTAATGTACTTTAATTTAATAAATTTTCAATTAAATTAATTAAATTGCTCTGATCCGGCTCCTCGTTCTCCCACCGGGCTGAAATTTAGAATAATCATCCGTAGGTACATGGTCATCCGTATATGCAAAAATCAGATTTCCATTATCAGTACTCACCCTTAAAGGGCCGGGAAACTATAGTGAATATTGATTTATTTTTTATTCATTATAGGGACGTATCCATGTGTCGTTCTATGTTAAGTATTTAGATTCGGAGACATTTTTCGACCAGAAAACTTGATCCAATCGATTCATTTTTTGATTTTAAAAGCAGTTTTTGATAATGATTTTGAAAGCCCGAAAAAACACGTACAATATTATAACAAACGGACAAATTTACATAGTCGATTCCATTATTTTAAACTTTCACGCTTTATTTTTTCGATCGGAAGTATTATTCCAATAGAAAAACGACAAGTGACCTTTTTTGTTTCACTTCTAATCTAGTTGGTGAGTAAGAGAGCCCAATTTAATGATTTTCTGTGTAGGTTTCTCGATAGTTAGACAAAATCGGAAAAAACGTAGAAAGACATGGAAAGTTTATGGAAATATTGGTTTCATTATTTTTAATTTTGTTGTAATTCAGTTTGAAAATATTCGTGGGGGGTTGACATTTTGACAGAACACTTATCATATTATATTTGCCTTATATTTTTGCAATTGTTGAGCTGTTTATAGGCATTTTATGTTTGTTGGCAGGTACTATGTGGATATAATTGTTTAGCCAAACAGAAATGTTTAAGAATTTAACAGGAGTTTATATCATTATAAGTCGTACTTAGTTGTAATTTTTTTTTTTTTCATAATTTTTATAAGGTCAAATTTTGATGAAAATCGTAAATTCAACGGCATTTCATATTATTTATAACCGAACTTCGCTAAGAATCGTTTTCCATTAGCAATGGTTTATTGTTGTTTACAAATATAAACTAAATAACTAATGCATCTTACCTTCCCAACTTTCCTCCTATAACAGTGGCGTATCTATCAACAGTATCTGCTCTTTTAAATTATTTTAATAGAAATACGCGAATTTCGAAATGAAAAACTAGCGGTACAAATGAAAAAATAAACTCGTAAAAATTACTGTTTATATTAAAATAAAAATATAATAGATACTATTAATATGTAGGTTTTTCTTTTGTTTACAATGTATAAATTAATTCGGCTATAAAAAAAAAAAATTTCACGTGATAAGTTCTCATGGCAAACTAATTATATTTGAAAGCAATATCGTATAATTTAAGAAATACAATTCTGAATGAGTGATTTTTCTTACATTTTATATGCAACCTTGAAAATTGTGAAAATCAGTCGAAATAATCATCTTTTAGATGGTATATCTTATTAATACTTTGTAAATATAAACTAGGAAATGTTGGCCGTTTATGGGCTTCACCAATTTGGGATTTTCTGTTGGTAAATTAAGTCTATTTAAGATTTTGAGTGCTATGTATTGGTTTTATTATATTTTTTTTTTTTTGTGTGTCTGTGAGTAACTTTTCTACCAGAAATTTTGATCAAATCAATTAAAAACCACAGATATGGTTTTTTTTGTAAGTAAATTATTTTTTTTAAATTAAATTTAAAAATGTTTGGATCTATAGTAAGTTGAAAAAATAGGGAAAAGCAGTAGGTATAGGAAAACTGACAAGTTTATAACGTGCAATTCCTGCTTGATTGATGAGGAAAATTATTTAAAAAAAAAATGTCTCATCACATTTAAACATTTAAAAAATGAACTATAATTTTATATTTAAATCGGTATTTATGTATGAAATCTTCAACAAATAATTTTCTTAGTACAATGAATTTTGAACCCTAGTTTTAACATTATATCTAATGTAATTATTGACTGATTTTACTTGTTTTGAGTAACATCTGAGTTATCTATAAATTATAACAAATAACTAATGCCTACTTATTTTCCTAGGTTTATTTGAAATTAAAAATATATTTGAATAGAATATTCGACTATGACACCATTATGTTGGTATCTGTTTTCAATGTTTGTATTGGCTATGTAATAATTATACATATGACAAATTTATCTGTTTTATGTACTCAAACAAACGCGAGTAACTTTTTCAAGGTCTTAAAAATCAGTTAACATAATAAATTTATTTAAAACCATTTGTCCAGTATGAAATCATGTTTGTAGCATGCATTCAATATTAAAAAACAAACTAAACATACTTTTTAAGATTATAGGCATACACAATCAACATATACAATTTTATATTTAATTAAGTTTTTTGTGTACTATTTATTTATGTTTTTAAAATAATCTGAATTTGGTTTTAGTTTTTATTTGTAGGTAATGTACAAATTAATTTTAATTTGATATTATTTAAAAAAATTGATTAAGTTGTTGTTGCATTAAAAATTAATTGGACATTAAACAATGATTATTGTTCTGTTTATTTGTGTAGATTTTTTTTAAAAAGAACTTTATGGTCATTTAGTTTTTTTTTTTGAACAATAATTGTATGTATACACTACACTTTTAAGTGGGTGTTTTTTTATTATTGTTTAAAATATAGGAATATAATTAATAATGAGAGTAATTTTTAGTTGTTTGATTTAAAACAAATAAAAAATAAACTTTTAAATATATATTTTTCATTTTATTCAAATTTGTATTAAGGTAATAATATAATTTCATTGTTCACAGGTTGATGAGTGATATAGGAGAGAATATCAAGATGTCAGAAAGTGTACAGGTTGAAACAATTACAAAAACTAATAAAAACGCAGATGAAAGTTCTTCAGGGGCAAAAAATAACAGTCTTAGGCATCGTAAAATACCTTCAGCCGATTTAAACAATGTAAATATACATTCATTGTAGTTCATTATGAATATTTTTTAATCTAGGCTTAATGTTTGACAATAATGCTTTTTGGGATAAATAATTGATAATTTTAGTTTTGAGTAATTGAAAAACATTTACATATAAAAATTTTTGGCTATCAATAAAATTAATAAAACAGTGAATTAAAATAATATTAATATATTCATGGTTTAACGAGATAATATGAGGAATAGAAAAAAAGATTACATGCATTTTATATTAAAATAATATATAAAAATAATGTAATATGTTGAATAACCGTTATTTTTGGTTTTTATTTATGACCTAATGAAAATAACAAGTGAAATAATAATGCTTGATGTTGAAATAAGAGTTAAAGCTTATTTTAAAATAATTGTTGGTGGGTAAAAACTGTTTTCAATATGTTAATGTACTTTGTTAATATTATAGTTACAAATACAAACTAACAAGCAAATATACAGAAAAATGTAAACATCATCCAATTTCATCATAAATAGAAGAAAAATTCTAATTTACAGGAAATTTACTATGATATATGAGTGGTTTTCAACCTTTTAAGAATCGCGAACACACCTATTTTTTTTTATGTAAAAGAACTTCAAAAATTATTTATTAGAACTTGAATACCATTTATAGTATACATATTATTTATGGTATTTGGTGACCCCCAACTATCACTCGCGGCCCCTAGGTTGAAAACTACTGATAAAAAGGGTAATTTACAAACAAAATTATGGTCTGTAAAGAAAGTATAATTTTAAAATTGCATTAAAAAAGAACCTCAATATAAATATTTTAAATTAAAATATTATCTACTAGGAAAAGTTTTTAAAATAATTGCTCAGATACTTTAAACAAAATTGATATGAAACTTTTAATTTACTATAAAATATTAATCTTGACTAACATACTGTATAATATAAACAAAAATGAAAACATTTTGAATTGTTTGGACTGTGTTTGTATATGCTTTTTTGTGTATGTTTTTTAGAAGTCTGATGAGTTAATAGCAGAGAAAACTGATTTATTGTCTGGCCCTTCAAATGGAAACAATGATGTAAGGACATAATATTTTACACGTACTATCACTGTGTATATATATTTTTTTTTTCACAGAAATTTATTGTTTTCTTTTTAATTTATTTTTGACATGTCTATTAATCATAATTTGTAATAATGACTGGCGTATATTATAATATTATTCGCAGATGGCATATAATTCGACTATGGAAACAAACGAAAACATGGATATAGGCATGATGGCTCAAGCAGAATTCCAACATGTTGCTGCCCAAGCTCGTGATCTCGGTCGTAAAATGTGGAATGTTTGTAATTTTCATAATTTACCTCAATGGCTTCAAGACAACGATTTCTTGCACACAGGACACAGACCGCCATTGAACTCATTCCAGGCTTGTTTTCAGTCTATTTTCCGAATTCATACTGAAACTGGAAACATATGGACACATTTGTTAGGTGATTATTATACAAAATATTAACCACTTGTGTATGATCTTACTAATTTGTTAAACAATTTAGTAAATCGTTAAAATTAGTTAAATTAAATTAATCTTAATTTTACTAAATATTTTAAAATTAACAATTTTTTGTTTTGTGTACCAACAGGATGTATTGCGTTTTTTGTTATGACTCTGTACTTTGCATCTAGACCTGAAGAAGAATTATCATTTCAAGACAAATTAGTTTTCATTATATATTTTATTGGAGCTATTACTTGCATGGGTTTTTCATTTGTATTTCATACAGTTCACTGTCATTCGGAAACTGTTGGAAAACTTTTCAGCAAGTAAGTAAATCATTCAAAATTGTTTGAATATAGTAATTTAATTAATTATAAATCAATTAAGATTGGATTACTGTGGAATTGCCATTTTGATTATGGGTTCGTTTGTGCCGTGGCTGTACTATGGGTTTTACTGTGAGCCATATTCGTGGATACTCTATCTAATACTTGTCTGTTCCTTGGGATTGGTAGCAATGATTGTTGCACTATGGGACAAATTCAGTGATCCTGGTCTTAGGCCACTGAGAGCAGGTATATTAATGTTAAAGATTAAAAATTAAGTTTTCATAAATATCATTTCTTTTATTATAATTATGAATTATGTTTGTCATATATTATTACTTTTTGTCAATATTTATATTTAAAATTTAATTTTAGGGGTGTTTATGACTTTTGGATTGATTGGTGTTGTACCAGCACTTCACTATGGCGCTGTTGAAGGATTCTTTTCTAACTTCACATTGATTAGTCTTGGTTGGTTGTTGCTTATGGGATTTTTGTACATCTCTGGCGCTTTGTTGTATGCTTTAAGAGTACCAGAACGATTTTTCCCTGGAAGATGTGATTTACTGGTAAGAGCCCATATTTATAATATCATAGTTAATTTCTAAGTAAGATACAAAAAAAAAAAAACATAAATTATCATTTATATATATTTTGTATATTTTATTACTTGGGTTAAGGTTAATTTTTGATTTGGTAGGGGGTACTTCAAAGTTTGCCAACGCAATATTTTGGCTTCACTATAATATACTCATGCCAAATAGATATATTAATTTGTACTAGGCGCTAGTATTAATTATACACAATTAAAAAAGGTTGAAAAGACATTTGTCTATTTTTATATCCTTTATTGAAATTTGCTTACTATCTAACATTGAACTAATTTAAATATTTGATTTATAATCTCCATACGATCAAAAAGAGTAATAATTAAATACAAATTTAGCTGATCCAATATTTTAGTTTAATTTAATTTAGGTATACATTTCATTATTGCTTAAAACCTATACAAATAGTATATTTTATATTTTATACCTAGGTTTAATATTATTTTTGTCCCAACTTTTGTGTGAACTATTTGGTTATATTGCATTGAATATTTTATATTTGAAAAAAATATAAACTTGTTTTCTTATTCAGTAGGTAGTTAGAGTTTTTAATGGCTATTATATAGTTAGTGTCAAATTACATGTCATAAGAAGCTTTTGTCTATATTACTTATTGCTCATTATGATTAAATTGGTTTTAATTGGTGAACCACTATAATATTTTTGCACGAACAACTAGTTATTTAGTTAGATTTATTTATTACTTGTATTACTCAAGTAAATTAATTTATTACATTTAAACAGACAGGTTGTTTTGGGAGTTAGTGGATATATTTTAGTAAAAAATTTTTTTTTTTCATAGTTCCAAAGTCACCAAATATTCCATGTGCTCGTTATATTGGCAGCATTTGTCCATTACCACGGAATCACACAAATGGCAGAATACCGATTGAGCAAAGGCGAATGTGAAGTACGGCCTGCTGTGGTTTAGTATGAGTTTGATGGTAGGTGTACGGACTGCTTTATAAAATTACGCAACTATTTTTGGTTATCCAATTTAAAGGAAAACTATGTATTTTTTGTAAGCTGACACTTTAATGGTTAAAATTATAAAATTTAAGTTCTTAAAACACCAGTTTAAAATGTAAAACTTATATCAAACAATATGTTAGAATGTAAGTTCTATAGTTTCATGTTATAGTCATATATTTTAACTATGTTTTGTTTACAAAAAAATTCATATATTTTTACTACATACGAAAAATTTTATAGCATATATTATGAAAAGTTCATAGTTTGCATGTTTAAATTCTGAGAGAAATTTGATATATTTGAAATAATATTGTTTTGTACGAATGTAATATAAATACGCTTATGTATACACCTTTCTTGTACGATTACACTCCTATGTACATAAGGTGCATCACAAATATTTGATGCTTTCTAAATAATCAATTATTGATCTTTAGTATGCATCTAATAATAATTAGAATTATTTTAAAATCATTTTTGATTAAAATCGTTTTTTTACTAGGGTAAAAATTGTTGAGAACTATTTTATTATTTTGAGTTTACTAGAAAAATGTTTTTTTCTCATGTTAAAAGTTTTTGTATGTATACAATAAGTTTATTTGAAAAGTTTAATATTTTTGAGCGATAATAAAAAATACTAATTTGCTATTTCAAATAAAAAATGTTTAAATACAATTTTTATTTGAGATATGATCTTTGAATAAATTAGATTTATAATTGTGTAAGTTTAATATTCTACTTTGGCATCACATTTTTTACACCATTCATGTAATAATAATATTGGATATTTCAAAGAACTTTTAAATTGATAATATTATATTATTAAGGGGTTGATGCTTCTGTCTTCTAAAAATTAATCCCAGGTTAAATGAAATTACTGAATTTTCAAAATCAATTTTTTTTCTTTTACTGTTAATGATTTATTTAAACACTATTAAATAAAATATATTTTTTTTTAAATTAAAAATTGTAATGACAATTAAATAAATAGACTGAATTTTCTTGTACATGTACACAGTACAGAATGATGAGTTGTTTCAAAGTAAATCAAAGGAGTATAAAAGTGTATTGGAAAAAGAAAAGAAATTGAAAAATATTTGTAATTTTTTAAAATCTTATGGTACTCAACAAAAAAAAAAACTATGAATTTTATCAAAAGGCAATAAGATATAATATATGTTATTATATATCATATAATGATTATTGCAATATATATTATTGTGCATTGCTTTTTAAATATTGTATTTACAATTAAATGAAAGCGTGATAATTTGAGTTCGGAAGTTTTCAGTAGTTAATATATTATATATCATTATATATAAAAAAAGTTGAATTGTAAAGAAAATCAATTGTTGTAAGAATATTATTTTGTAGTTTTTTTTTTTTTCTAAGGTGTATTATAAGTACTTGCATAATATTTTATAATTATTTTAAAAATGTATAAGGACTGCTTTAATTATTAATAATACAATTTGAGCATATGCCAGGGTCAAGTACCGCCATTCGAGAGTCGTCCTCCAGACACTTGCAAAAAGAAAACTGTATCATTGTTTGGAGATATCCAATTTTTCGAAGTTATTGTTTTATTATGTGTGATCAGGAGGACAACTTTTGAAAGTTTGTACTTGTGTGTTAATGCGTAGATTATGAGAGAAACAAAATAACATATTTTATTTTCATGGGCTTGTTTTTGTAAATTGTAATAATAGTAATATTATTATTATTGGGCTGTGTCGTGGATTTTTCGGGATTTCAGTATTACAGCGACCACCATCATGATGTGTTACACTGGTGTTTTATTGGAGTGCAAAATGTAATTGTTGAGTTATACCACAAGTGTAATAATAGTATATATACATTTTTTTTTTATACATAAATATTATCTCTGTGATAGTATTTTACGATTTATATTTTAGACTATATTATATATAGGAAACATATTTTCAGACATACATTTTAGTTGATATTTCGTTGTGTATTTTCATAACAAAAAATAAAAATAAAATACTAATAACAATCATAGAATATAATATGTATTATACACATATTGATATTTTCAGTACGTACCTATATAAAATACCTATATTTATTACTATTTTTTTTTTTTTTGCTCAAATAAATAGAAAAAAAGAAAACAAATTATTGTGTGTATATCACCTTTTTCCTTGCCAAAATTGTCCATTTAATGTTTTTCGATGTTAACGCCATATTCTTTGTTATTTCTTTATTATTAGGTTTGTGAAACGAAGACCCAGTTAACTCTTAAAAAAAAAAAAAAAAAAATGTTTTAATAAAATGTCTGCCAGCTCAGATAGAACATGAACAGAGCACATCCAAATATTACAGTATTTTGTGACAAACATTAGAATATAAATTGTGTAACTAAACATTACGTATTTTGTGCTTCCCCTTCCCCGAATTATTTTGTTAGCAATCACGATTATTTTGATACCACACCACCACTATAGAACATAGTCTTTATTATCTGCCAAAGAGAACTCATCCCCCCATCCACAAAAACACAAACTTTTACGATAACGACAACATTTCAACATTAAAACTAAATCTGTTTAGGGAATTTGTAATATAAGTTGTTTTTTTGGAAATCAAAAGCATGTAATGGCTTCACCCTAAAAAATAATGACGAATGATTATATTCATGAAACATTTTAAAGTTGCTTGCTTCTTAAATTTTCTAAAATTACAAATCCGGAAAAAAGCGAATCTGTACAAAAATTCGGCTCGTAATGGAAAACGTTTTATTTTTTTCAATATTTTTTTTAAAGTTATTTAGCGGAGTTGGTAATAAAATCAATAAAACCGAAATACCGGAATACAATACGCTTAATCTTATTTTAAAAGTATATTTTCCAAGACTATTTATTTTATCAATTATTATAAAATTTACCGGCGAACGTCCAAATAGTAGATTTTTATTACGATAATGTTTAATGACGTATACGTGTTTATGATGCAGTTAAAACGCGCTGTTAGATATCTTTATTAACAATTTGACGGCACACGCGACACACCCAGCAATTAGATTAAACGCAGAATAATCCAATAAAATCTCATAAAAAAAAAAAAAAAATTTGTTCCACCAAAGCGTGTATTATTATGTTTTTGGCACGTGTTTTTACCTATTGTTATTGTGCCTACCTATTTATTATGTAAATTATAGATTCTAAACGAAATGACGTGAATCGCTATAATTATGTCTGCTAACAATTTTTCAACCAGAAGTCTCGTTCCGAACATCAACTGTATAGGGGCGCAGATTTTTGTCAGAATATATCGTCTATAGGACGGGTCAATTTTTTGATTTTCCTTGTAAAATATTTATTATTTGGGTGAAAATATATTTGCGTAATAATAGTACTCTATTGTTGAAATTCACCGAAAATGATTGTGAAAACTTTCATTGTATATAGTCGCTTTCTTAGATGTGTTACAATTTTCAAACTTTTTTGCGTTTTTAGGTTGTTTATAGCTATTTGAAAATGTTGTATTCTAGATTCTGAGCATAGCGTGTGAGCAATTGGTTTTACAATTGTTGTTTTTTTTTTTCTTTCTCTGTTCTTTTGTTCTAATACGTGGACACGTTTTTTTCTAGTAAACTTACTTCCGATTTTTACATGTCGTAACTTTTCTGAAAGCTCAAGTTGTCTAGATTGTACACAAGGTTATTTTTTGATTTTCGTCGCCATTTTTTAAAAAAAGCCTTAAGTGGGAAAAACGTAGGAAAACGTACAATTTCACAATTTTATTATTTTATAAAAACACAGACGACGTTTTCTATTAGAAAAAAATGATGTAATCAAAAAATCATAAGATACCTTTTTCGTTGCCTTTTTGATTTACTTTCTTAGGATATCATCGCCAAAACTTTTGAGCCACTTTTGCGCTTTTAAGGGATTTTAATTTGTGAGAGTTTTTGCCGTGATTCCGTTATAAACACAAGTAGAGAAACTTGGTAATAATACTTAAATTGGACTTACCTGGACGTGGACAAATTTCCAAAATAATGGGATGACTTAAATTTTTTTTTAAATTAAATTTAAACGAAAATCGCAAAAAAAAATTACGGCACTTTAAATTATGCATTACCGAACTGCGCTCGGAATCGTCTTTCGTTAAGCAATGGTTTATCGTTGCTTACAGATATAAGTGAAATAACCTTATGTATCCTACCTTCCCAACTTCTCACCTATAACAGTGGCCGCTCCCATCCCCAGTATCAGCTTTTTTTTATTTTGTTTTTCGTTTTATATGTGGACAAAAATGCATTATTATTGTAGGTGTTTTAAGTTCAAGTTTGTGTTGAAATTCGTTAAAACCACGAACAATTGTAATTTATTTTGTAGTTGTAAACTAAAACAATGCTTAATTTAAATCTATCAACAAATGTCTAGGAACTCCGTTTCAAATCATTTTTCGTTTGCTATATTTACCCTATTTACCCGTCCTTTCAGACTACTCATCTACAACAGTTGCACACGTGCAGTCAGTGGTGCACACAGAGCGGGATAGGGGGTCATGGGGTCATACAACCTCTCGAAATGTCTTCCTTCACTACATTTACATTTTTTTTAAATCAAATTTTACATTCAACAACATACCACAGAATAAAAAACATTTTAATTTGATCAAAAATCGTATATTCAGTAATAATAGTGATAATACTTTATTGATAATATGTCCCATCTCCCTCTAAGAAATAAAAAATAAAAATTTCTCACGAAAAAAAATCCTGTTTGCGCATTACTGCGCGAAGAAGGTACGACTTTTTCAAATATTTAATTGTCGTAAAACCCGTCACTCGGGACATTTTCTTTGAATTATTTGATTCGAGAATTCGGTACTGACGATAAAATTAATACAATATGCGTATTATCTCATTTACGATAAAATATAATTGTTATTATTAAGTGTCCCAATAAAACACACGCTGTTGGCATAGGCGACTTGAGGTATGTTATTTGGCGGTTGACTAACCGGTTAGTTTAAATTAATACCCACCCCTACCCACGCAATTATAATAATTACACATCCCGTAAATAATTTGTTTTTAAAATAAATTTTATACTGTTGATTATGTTTATTAAGAAAAAAAAAAGATATTTTTATAAAACAATGTTAAAAAGTACATATTAACTACTTATTATACAGTGTTGTTTGTTTATAATAATTATTAATTTTAATAGGCTGAACTGTTAAATGGAATTTTACAATTCATACATATCGTACAATTTTGCAAAAACAAAAAAAAAAAAAAAAAAAAAGAAACTGTCAATATTTGAACGACTCAACAGTTGAATACTCCGAATTGTTGGTTGGCGGTTCAGTGAATCACCGAAACTGTTCAAGTAGGTCGTTTCCATCGGTTTTATTGATTGATCATTGTTGTTGTCATAAATGCACGGGACGAACCCAGTATTTTCGGTCGTTTTGAACTCCCTGTAAAAGTTCGTTTATGGCTTCTGCCATGCTAATGAGTAATAACTTGAAACCACACACGATCCATAATGACGATTGATTGTAACCATGGTTTTATTACGATAATCGGATAATATTATCACTTGATGTCCGCTAAACAGTAAATAGGAAATGACGCCACTTCACGTATTTACTACTAACTTTGAAAACAAATACTGAACGTCATGTTAATAGTGATAAATCGTTAAGACCATAAAAACTTTGGCGGGTAAAACGCGTAATGTGGTTCATTTAGTTATGGTCGGTAATCCTCCCGCGGGTAAATCGCTCAACGGGGCGCGACCCCATTCGTAGAAGATCGGTACTTGGGACCAAAATAATTATTGTATTAAAAAAAGCAGCAGATTGTTGGGAACCCAAAAGTGAACGACTCTTAATCGCAATAACTGGCATAGGTATCAGTAACTATGAGATTTTGAATAGGTATATACCTAATCATTGTTTTTCTTTGCACATGTTATAACTTTAGTTTCCAGCCAATCGCACATACCATACAATTAATAATTTCTCTGTGAGGGGATATTTCGTTACTTTATTATGGATGTGATACCACTACCGCATTTTGATTTTCAAATGGCAAACTATATTCCAAATTACGTAAATAGATGCGAAGGTTTAGTTTAAACGAAGGAGAGATAGTTGACGAGATAATCAACTTAAGTTTGTCATTTTGTGGGTAAAAAAAAGAGTAGTAGAGCATCATTAGTGTAGTGGCGTGGCATATTTGACAGTATTTGACGGTATTCCGCTACTCTCCCCAGTACCTATATCGTACTGTCATTGGTAGTCTAGAACAATTCATCAATTTTCGTGCCTAAACTTGATATCCAACTAAAATTTAGCGTCCCATAAATGTGTGGCTCCTTTGGTGCCCTAAAGCAATCGATCCTTTGCCCTTCCCCTATAACACGGCCCTGACTCCTAGCTACAAACGACAAAATTAAAAGTGATGAAATATCAACGGGTTGACGAAAAATATAAATTTCAACGTCAACTTCTGTGTAACTACAACTTCTTCTATTTAGAGAAGTTTTTATTTAGGTATTGCTATTGTAAAATCATAATTGTAGTTTCACCTTCAAACACAAGGGTTGTAATGTAACATTTTGGAGCAACGTGTTTGTAAAATTAAAAAAAAAAAAATTAAAATAAATTCTTTCCGGGATAATGAGTGTCTTAACGTAGTTACATTATATATTGATCCCCCTGTATAATCTGTATAATAAAACAAATAAAATATTATGTAGGTACTTGCAATGAGTTGCAGTTTGTGCGCGAACGCCGAATTTAAAAATTATTTTTAAATATTTAATTATAATGGGCAATTTTTCATGGCCAAACGTAAATTGTCATAAATTGGTGAGTAGCCGCGGTATATTATATACGTGTGTGGCCTTGGAACGCGTCCACTTTACGTCGGGGAAAATAATATATTTTGTTTTGGACAGAATTGTCAGAAACTCAGAAATAATATTGTTATGTAACAAATTTTTTATTCCCAACGCCACCGCTGTTTAGAAATTTCGGATGTATAATAATACTCTGTACACTAAAAACTCGTACAAACATTTGTAGCCGGACATATTGAATTAACCGTTGGGCGGATATTTATGTTTTCGCATGTTTCTATTGGTCAGCAAAAAAAAAAAATTAGTTTCAAAAGCACCAAAATGCGTTTTGTGACCGAAAAAAATACAAATGTATTTTGCATATCATGCATATTATGATTTATATTGAATTTTAAGGTTTTTTTTTAAATTT